TCTAAGTATTTCCTGCTGCAGTGTTTCATCGTTAAGAAGCTAGTCTGGAATTTCTAGTTGGAACCCGTCACCTCAATGTAGTGTAATGGCACCCGTGGTAATTTGAAGGAAAGTTACCAGAGTCCCAAGACGTGGAATACTATTCATTGTAATAATTGTAATGGTATAGTTAAAACTTTGAACTTGGCATGGATGGTAAAGTGTTTTTTTCATTATTATATAATTTTTTTAAAAATTGTATGGAGGAGGATGGTAATTTTGTTTTTAAATGTACAATAAAATTATTTATTTAATTCTGAAATAAAATAATCTGATGCCTATTTCTTTAGGATATTCTTATACTTTTAAGTTTTTTTAATAGTGTAATTACTTTAAATTGATATCCTTAAAGTCTCATACAATGCCTTTTTCATTATTTAATATTGTTTTTATTATAAGTTTTAATTACATTCAGGAGTATTGTTAAATTATATTGATTTTAAAAAAATTAAAAATATATCTTATTGGTGCATGGGGTCTGTCCAGCCACCAAGAGTAAGTTTAATTCATATATTTATAATTTCTATTTTCTTTATTTGTTTTGATAAAATTTTTAAAATTGACTCAAAATAAAGTTTTTAATTGCATTTGGATTCGGGGTTTTTAAGATTTGACCTAGTATATAATGTTTTTCTAGGTTTGTTTTGTTTTTACATGTATTTTTCAATTTCACCTCTATTATTTTTATAAAAAAAAATTAATTATCATAATTTTTATTTCTAGTTTATTTTATTTGGGATTATTTTTTAATTTTTTAATTAAATTGCATTTTCTTTAGTTTTTTCCATTAAATTTTATCATCATTCATTCTTCTTCTTTTTTTTGCTTTCACTAGGTTTTTTATGAATATTTTTTTTACTAATCTTATTCTTCAAAATTAAATTAATTAGCCATTATACTTTTTAATAAATTATATTAGAGACTTCACGGGTTGAAGCTTTATAAGTTAAACCATATTTAAGAGATTTGCAAGATTTGCTTTGCAAAAGACTGAATAAAACATTAAAACATCATTTAATTAATTTAATTATCATTATTTAATAGTTTCAAAGAACTAGAAAAAATAAATTATAGATAACTTTTATGTCCATATTATTTTTAAAAATAAAAACTTTCCCGATTGGTATATGTATAATATATTTTAATATTTAATGAATATTTTATTTTATTTTTTCCACAATTATGATAAAATAACATGTTTTGTTTTTCAATTTCATTCTTCAACATAGATTTTTGTTGATTTAGTTTTTTTAATTTTATTATTTAATATTTGTTTTATTTTGAATTGATCTTCATAGTTTTTTTTTTATTATACAACTAAATAAAAAAAACTCATTTGATTTATTTATAATCTGAATCACGAGTTTGATAAGTTAATCTAAATTAACTTGAATTAATTTAATATATTATTATCTTAATATTTTTTTAAAAAAATTATCTATAAAATGTTTTTACATTAAAAGAACTTATCACAACTTGTAATGTAGTGTAACAATAACCTAGTTTTAGGTTAAAAAATAAAGAAATATCTCTTCGGGTACATAGCAAAATAGAAATAACTTATCTGCTTCTCATTTGTTAATACCAAAAAAAAAATCATATATTATCGAATAAAAACAAATGTAATTTAACAAATGGTTTATAATTGAAATCATAGCCTATATATCTTATTTATTTATTTATTTATTTTCAAGAGAAAATCATAGCGTTTTTGGCATGCAAAGAAAAAAATAGAGAGTGTTTTTATCAATTTGGGCTGGCCCAATATCACCGGAGGAAATGATCAATACAAATTGGGCCCAATGCATAAGCCACACTTACACAGTTACACCCTAATAGTAATAGGGATGGCAATTTTATTGGAACTCAATAAATATGATTTTTTTTAATAAAAAAATTTGGGTTCAGTTAAATGGATAGTGCTTTGTCCGGTCCGAAACTCTGCCCGTATCCGATCTGGATTATAGACATGACCTTAAAGTTCAAGACAATTACATTTATACCCACCTAAGATAAACTAGGGATTCTCACTTAACTCTCCAGCCGAATCCTCCCTTCTCTCTTTCTTTCCCTTTTGTTCTCCAGTCCTCTCCAATCTCCAGCAGACCTGTCGGCGGGAGTAAGCCTGCACCTAAGGTTGGTTTATTGTGTCTCTGTGTTCGATTCTGCCTAATTATATTTCTATGCTAAAATATTTGGACGAACTGATCACCAGACATTCTGATTTTCTTATTACTGTAAGGGGGGAAGTTGGACATTCGAAACACCGGCGCGCCTCTTGTTGACCTTTCCTCAGGAGAGTTTGATATTAGCACCTTGCAGGTAATTTCTTTCATTTTTCCTAAAACTAGGCTGTGCCATGTGGCAGAAGCTGAAAATTTTGTTGGTTGCAGACTCATTTTGCATTTTATTAGATTATTTTTCGGGAATTCTCATACGTGAAAATCTCATCAGTTTAGCTAAGGTACTATTCTAGTTGACCAGAGGAGTATTGATAAAGCATTGAAGGACTGGAAAATGCAAAACTTGTATCTAGAATATGTTCTGATGTCTTTTGCAGAAACCATAAGAAATGAAAAGGAGAAAATAAGCATTGTGAGTGAGAAATGGACTGTTTTACAGCACCTACTCCCCTCCAGGAGGGGAAAAAGCAAAACTTGTATAATGCAAATTCTGGCAGTAATTAATTAATAAGTGAGAAAGCGTAGAACAATGGAAGGATTACCGCTGGTTGTTTTGGTGATTTTTGCAATGGCTTTGTCGGTGCAAAGCCTATTGAAAACAGAGATGGCAGAGTCTTGTTATCATCCCAAGCCTCAAATTTACCTTCACCTCTAGACGAAGCAGCAAAAATTTTCGGATAAAGGCCTTGAAGATCATGATCTCTTGATCTCATTCTAAGTTTGTATAAATGCTTTCTTTCCCATTCTAAGTTAATTCGCAGTACTAAGAGGTTGAGACCAATTCATTCTCTTTGATCTGGTTTAAAACTTGCTATATATTCATACCTTTATGTTTGTAGAAATTTTCTTGAGAATAATGACATTAGTGTCGACTAATGACCTTAGTGTTGTCTATTGAGAGGATTTGAATTTTGGTGTGACACTACCCTCTCGACAGACCTCCCACTTTTTCCATCTTCTTACAACATTAAAACCCTAACCCCTCCGCGCCCTTCCCCTATTGACTTGTAAGCAATCTAGATCTGGGTTTTCAATTTTATGTAATTTTTCATTTGGCATGCAATTTTTTCTTAATGGATTTTTTTATTCTTTTTTTTGTATGGACTAGATTTATGTTATCACTTAACTCTGGTCTTGCTCTTTTCTAAATTTGGTTCACTGTCTCTTTGTAATTTATCTGATGTTGATTTTTATTAAATTTGAGTAATAGATTTAGCAACAGCTAGGGAAATGGTTGGATCCCGAAACCCATAAATGCATCTGGGTTTTAATCAATCCTTGCATTCTAGCACATACTATTTTCATTGTGGAAATTATCCTTTCGTTGAGAAAAAGTTGGGTTTTTGATGCTTAGTTGGGTTCTAATTAATCCTGTGTACCAGTGTGTGATCTTGCTATTTTCGTTGTGGAAATCCCTAGGTAAGATTTTGAGAAACAGTTTGTTTTTTTGAATTTGTAAATTGTTAAAGGTTTCTATAGTGGTACTCTGTTTAGAAATTCGAGGTGCAGTTGACAATAATTGGGTTTCTTTCTTGAGTAATAGACTGTGCTGGTTTTGATTCTTAAAGTTTCTTCTACATTTTTGCATTGTTTTAGGGTTAAGGTCATGCTCTAGCTGGTTTTAATAATGGAGATTTTCAAATGCATTTTGATAATTTTCTATCTGTTTTAGTTTGTTCTTTAAATTTCTACATGGTATGATTTGAAATAATTACTGAATGATTAAAGTTTTGCTATTTGAAAAGTTGCTTATTGAATTATGTTTGTTGTGTTTTGTTGGTTTTTTAGGGGAGAAACCTGTTGGTTAAGATGGAAGTACGCAAAGAGAATCGGAATATAAGAGATAACCACCGTCGCTTGCTCGCAGAGAAATTTGAATTGAAGCGAAACCTTTACAAGGCACTGGTTAGAGATCCCACACTTCCTCAGGAGATGCGTGAGCTACATGCATATAAGCTGGCCAAGTTGCCAAGGAACAGTTCCTTTACACGAGTGAGAAACCGATGTGTTTTCACTGGTCGTCCTCGTGGTGTTTATCAGCTGTTTAGGATGTCTCGTCTTGTTTTCCGTTCATTGGCAAGCCAAGGTCTGTTGGAGGGCATAAGGAAGGCGTCCTGGTAACCCAGATTAACAGGACATGGATTGGATTGACTCACAGCTAGTGTTGCTCGAGCCAAGGATGTAATGGGTTATATCCTTAACTTGGAGTATTGTCTTGTTAAATATATCATGCAGTTTCCAGTTTTGACTTGAGAAAATGTTTTGTTGGTGGTGCTTTTGATTTTAGAATAAAGATGGGTCCTGTTCTTATATTTTCTATCTGTAGCATTTGGAATTGATTTGTGCATAACCTTCAAATTTTTGCGTTTGACAAAATTCTAGACTATTCTTTCATTACATCATTCTGTATTTGCCCTGTCAAGGCACACATTTGTCATCCATGCCTCTAGAAACTGAATCATTATGCATGGAATGGCGTACAAGTTAAACCAAATATTATCCCATAGAAAACAATACAGGAGCCTGATCCCATACATTCTTGGCCAAAAACTGCAGAGGGTTTAACAGAAGAAGCGTCATCTTAAAGATGTTGGCAGCTGTATCCGCTCTTCTATGCACTTCAAAGTTTTGGAAGAAAAAATAAAATTAAACATTTGCAGGGATCAATGCTCAAGTCCAACTGACCCAGCAAAACTCATAAATTGCATGTGATAATCTTAAACAGTATAGTCTCATGAATTTATGGTGTGACTAGAACATTTTTTACTGGAAAATTGAAAAAAGAAACTGTCGATTGCTTATGTTTGGTGTGTTTGGTATGCTTAATAGTATTGATCGAACTAGAATGGACAAGACTAGATTAGATAAATAATTATCTTGTGTTTGGTGTGATTTAGATTAAATTGAACTGAATAATTTGTTCTATTTTGTGTTCGATAGATATTGTTATCTCGTGTTTGGTGTGTTTTAGACTAAATTAAACTAGATAAATTGTCTTGTTTTGTGTTTGATAGACATTAGATAGGGTTTGACTGACATGGGATTTGGATTGATTCGGGTTTTAAAACAATTAGAATAAAAATTGATCCGACTTGACTGAATCGGAAACTTAGATTGACCCGGTTGACTCAAGATAAAAACGATTAAAGAATCCATTGACTTGTTTTTCATTATTTTTTTTCAACACAAGGTTACTTTGATTTTTTTTTTTCAACTTGGATCAACTCAAGTTGACCATTTTGCCCTTGACCCGGGCCTTACCTTGAATTAACTCTTGAGTCAGGTTTTAAAACTACTATAATAATTAATTTTATTTATACACTGATCTAGGTCAACCCAAGTTGACCATTACAACCTAGGATTCATGACTTGTTCCGAGTTGATTTTCAAGTTAAATTTTAAAATTATAATAATAATATTATTTTTTTTACGATAACTCAAATCAACTCGGGTTGATTTAGATTAACCTTGGTTGGTCTTCATGATATGTTACCTAATCCTTACACCGGGTCAACCCTCGAATCAATTTTTAAAATTATGATATTAATAATTTTTATTTTTATATTGTCATAGGTCAATTATGATATTAATAATTTTTATTTCTAGATTGACTATCTTGACCCGTGACTTTGGCTTTATCCCTGATCAATCTTTTAGTTAGATTTTAAAACCATGACAATAACTATTTTTACTCTTGGATTAACCCAAGTTATTGATCAACCTGACCTGTGACTTGGGCTTTGCCCTGAGTTGACTCTCAAATGAAGTTTTAAAACTATGATAATAATATTTTTTATCCTTGTATTAATCCTAACCAATGATCAACCCAACCTGTAAGCTGACTTGACCCCTAGTTGGATTTTAAAATTATAATAATTATTATTTTTATCTTTATACTGATATGATCAATGGTCAACCCAACTTGTTACTAGATTCTAGTCTTAAGTCGATATCTGAGTTAGGTTTTAAAATTATGATAATTATTTTTATTTTTATGTTGATCCAAGTCAATGGTCAACCCGACTCATGATTCGTGCCTTGCCCTAGTCGACTCTCAAGTCAAGTTTTAAAACTATAATAATAATCAATTTCATCCCTACGTTAACTTGAGTCAATAGTTAATCCAACTCATAACTCAATCCTTGTCTAGGATCAACTTTCAAGTCAAGTTTTAAGATTATGATAATAATCATTTTTATCTTTGTGTTAACTGAGGTCAATGGTCAACTCGATCCATGACTCGAATCTTATTATAGGTTGATCCCCTAATAGAACTTTAAAATTATGATAATAATCATTTTTATATATTTTTATACTCATTTGGGTCAATGGTTAAACTGATCCATAACCTAGGTTTTATCCTAAATTAATCTCAAATCAAGTTTTAAAACTATAATAATAATACTTTTATCCTTATATTAATTTAGGTTAATAATCAAACTGATTTATGATAATCAAGTATTAAAATTATAATAATAATTTTTTTACTCGAATTAATTTAAATTAACCTTTATACAGATAATTAAGTAAGTTTATCGGGTCTTTTTAGCGAGACAAAAATTTCCCACCAAAACAACTTAAAGGATATAGAAACTGATTTATGTACTGTTATAGATGTGCCAATTAACTTTTTTCTAAAAAAATTTCCTGTTGAGTCCTTTTTAATCCAGCATAACGAGCACTAGCTTAATACGTGACTCGCAGCAAAGCGTCGGCAATTTTGCTAGTGTTAACCAAAAGTCCAGTTAGTTTATTGATGCGTAAGATATGACTTCCAGCAGTAGCAGTAGAAATAAATGTAGAAATAAATAAGCAAATCCCAACGAAATTGGGAAAAAAGAAGATTTTTCAATGGGCATCGGGCTGGGAATGATTGGAGCCTCCTAGTGGTGCCAAGGGCAAGGGGGTATGCTAAGTGTCGTTTGCTTTTTTCCTTCAGTCTATGTTTTACTTGTAAGGCCATAAACTCTTTCTAGTTTGATCACCATTTTCATATGGACCGCCCAGCACGCAGCAAGAGGTGAGAAGATGGTTTCCAAAGATGGGATTCACACTGTGAGAATTGCTAGGTTTCTCAAGCCACTTGTTGAAAGTGTCAACCAAGGTTCCTCACATTCCATTTTTGTCTGGAAGTTTCTCCGAAAACAGGCAGAAATGGCCATCAGATGTTCTGTTGGAAGGCTGGAGCATGCCCCAGAAACAATGGGAAGAATGGTTGGATTGTCTAGCCAAAGATCACGGTTCCATTTGGAACCAAAGTGGTATATGTGATGCAATGATCAGTTCTAGATATGAGCTTCGTTGTCACGAGGATGTAATGTTTGGGTTCTTCGAAGTTGGATTACTGGTGTCCTGAAACCAATACTCTTGTTTTCCCATGGGGCGAGGCAACCATTACTCTTGAAGATATCGTGAATCTTGTTGGGCTTCCTGTTCTTCGTGAGCAGATTCGGTGAAAATTGAAGAAGAGATGAGGAAACATCGAAAGGAAATGTGTCGGAGCAAGTTCAAGAAAGCCCACCATGGGTCTTAGCTCAAGCATTTCATGGACAATGTGAGGACGAGCATATAGGGTTTTTGCACTACGGTTGTCAAGGTTTGTCTTGCCTTCTCTTCCTGAACATACCATTCAAAAGCATGATTTTGCAATTGCCATCCATTTATCTGAAGGGACCAAGATTGCACTAGCTCCTGCTGTGCTCGCAAGTCTTCGTAAGAACTTAAGATTGTTGAAAGAACAGGCTGCTGCTGCTGCTTCGGGTTCTATTACCGTTTCAGGTCCCCTGCAAATAGTTCAGCTATGGGCTTTTGAGAGGTTTCCACTTCTGGGACCTCAGTGTCCTAATCTACTTAAACATGGTGAGCCGAGGGCTGCTAGATGGCACAAACTGAATTCTAAAATCAGTCTGCCACTAACCAGATCAGTCCTGAAAGTGCCTGACAATTTTAAATGGCTTCCGTATGCCGATAATTTGGACAAGCGGCACCATTCATCGTATTACAGAGAAGATGATCTATGATTCACAGCAACCAATACTAAGTAAGGGTAAGAGCTACAGTACTGACCATTTGGAGAACCTTTTTGGATGGTTTGACTCATAATTTAAAGAATGCTAACTTTGTTAATGACATGCATTGATACAACCGACTATTTAGTTTTTTTTGGGAAAGTGATTTTTTTTTTTGTAAATAAATCCTCGAAAAGTAAATTATTTTTATATATTTGGTGGAGTCATGAAAAATATGTTGAAAAAGACTTTTTAGTATTTAATTATATCATAAAAAACAAATTAAAAAACAAATTATTAATTTTTTATTTTTTTCAAGTTTATTAAAATAATGAGGAATAAATTTTACAAATTAAAAGGTTAAATGAGAATGGAATTGAAAAAATAATTTCATAAATTATCTTAAATAAAATAAATGACATTTAAAATAATGGAGATAAAATCTAACAGATAAAAAATTAAAAGATGATGAAATTAAAATAATTATAATTATAATTTTATAAATTAATTCAAATAAAATAAGTGACACTGAAAAAAATAAGGACTAAATTTGATAGATAAAATATTTTAATTAAAAATTAAAAGTAATAAAAATAAAGACCAAAGTTAATATAAAAATCAAACTCTAAGGGATAAAATTGAAAAAAATATTTCACAATTAAAAGTTTAAGGATCAAATTTGATATAATTAACAAATAATATGATATTTTTAAATTTTTTATAACTTTTAGAAAGTGTTTTCCACTCAAAATAAAAAAAATATTTTTTTAGAAACGAAACCAATTTTTTTTTTTATTGAAAAGGATGTTTTATTGATTGATTTTTTTTAATAAAAAACAAACATAAACGTAAAAGAATGTAGAAAATAATCTCTGAAAAACTACTTTATATGAAAGATACTGTTAATTAATGTTTTAGTGTTATAAAATGAAAATAAATACTGCTGTAAGAAAACACATATTGGTGGTCTTACTTTTTAGGTCAATGCAGAAAGAAGTAAGCACGAGTGCACGACTTGGAATACAGTCCTGCCAGTTCCATTAGAAAGAAAATAGATATTAAATTAAAAAAAATGTGCTGGTGAAAACACTGTAGAATAAGAATTTGTAATTCTAGTTATTGTTATTTTTTTAAATTATTTTTTATTTAAAAATATATTAAAATAATTTTTTTTATTTTTAAAAATTTATTTTTGACATTAACACTTTAGATCTAAAAATATTAATTTAAAATAAAAAAAATAAAAAACTAAAATATTTTAAAAAATATTTTTAAAATACTAAAACAAGCTAGAAAATAATGAGCTTCCTTGATTCTGCATCTTCTCTGGTCATTGTTCCTCCCTTGCTTCTCTTCTTTTCCCGTGGTGCCTTTTTTCCCCTTTCTTTGTGATGTGTTTGGTATATTTTTATGGCCTTTTTAGCTGTCTGGTTGCTTTGGATGTGCATTAAAAGCACTGTCCAGAACATGTGTTCATGATTGCCTTTTCAGGCTATGGGAGGCTGACTCTTAATTTTGGAATTCTCGCAATGTTTTTCCAGGAATGGCAGTTAGATTAGACAGTTTGCTAACAGTTCTTCTGCATTACGTATTACATTCATCTTCTGTTAGTTGATGTTGGTTTGTATAATTTAGTTTTTAATAAATTATTCAAAATTATGTAATAAATTTTTAAACAGTTCTAAATCTATATAATGGAATTTTAAATGTTAAATTAATTTGGATTAACACAAAAAAAATACAAATATAAAAAAGGAGGCCTAGGTTGAAATTGTCATTAATCTATTTATTCTAAAGTTCTCAAATTAACCTAAATACAAAGAGATTATATATAAGTTAAACTGAAAAAATTATTTTATCCTTGATAAATAAAACAAAAATTAATATATTATTGAACATCTCCCCTCAAATTTATGATGCAGTAGTTACAAGTATCGAGAGTTTGCTAACTAGAAAACAAAAATGAGAGATGGAACGCGACTTGGTAAAGTAATCTACAATTTGCATGGAAGAAGGAACAAAAGGCAAAGTAATGGTGACATGCTTGAGATGATGACGAGTAAGATGACAATCAATCTTAATGTGCTTAGTTCACTTATGAAAAACCACGTTGTGAGCAATTTGAATAGAACTCTAGTTGTCACAATACATAGAAGTAGGATGAAAAAGGGTAACTCTTATATAATCAAATAACCAATATAAACCATAACTCTTATATCAGCAAGTAACCAACATAAACCAAATGAACTTTTTGGTAGTAAATGTCATAGCACGATATTCTGCTTTATTTGAGAATTCAGAAACAATATAGTGTTTCTTGTTTTTTCAAGAAATAAGAGAATCACTTAGAAAGATACAGAAGCCTATAACAGACTTGCGATCTGTGGGATCAATATCATGATCAACATCAAAGTATGCATACAACTCTAAAGAAGAGGTGGATGAAAATAAAAGACTTTAAAACACTATACCCCGAAGATATTGTAAATTATGAAGAATAACTGCCCAATAAACAGTAGTAGGAGAAGAAAGAAACTGATTAACAACATATGAAATATCTGAACGAGTAATGATGAGATATACCAAGCTCTCAATAATAGTACAGTATAAAGTAGGATCTGTCAAAGGTATATCATCACAAGAAGAACACCTTGCATTAACCTCAATAGAAATGTCTATAGTCTTGTTATCTGTATATCTAACACCTTGCATTAACCTCAATAGAAATGTCTATAGTCTTGTTATCAGTATATCTAACTCGCTCAAGAATATCTGCAATATATTTTGATTGAGAAAGAAGATAACCTTTAGGTGAGGAAACTGTCTCAATACTTAGAAAATATCAAAGATAACTCAAATCCTTCATTTTAAATTGTCTTGCCAACTTTGTTTTCAAACTAAAATATCATCAATATCATCACTAGTAATAATCATGTCATCAATATAAAGATAAAATGATACGACCTGCATTAGTGCATTTAATAGAAAAAAATAGAATTATGATTACTACAAACAAATCCAGGAGACGAGATCACAATAAAGAATTTCTCAAATGAAGCACGAAGTGTTTATTTGAGACCATATAATACTTTTTTAAGTTTACAAACATACCTAGAGTTATGTGAAACACTAAAAAGGGGCACCATGTAAACTTATTTTTAAAGATCTCCATTTAAGAAGATATTTTTAACATCAAGTTGGGAGATATGCCACTGACGAATCAAAGCTATTATAATAAGAGTACAAATAGTAGTCATTTTTGAAACAAGAGCAAATGTCTCCTCATAATCCAAACTATACTGTTGAGAGTATCCTTTTGCAACCAACCTAACTTTGTATCACTCAATAAACCCATCAAAATTAGTCTTTATCTTATACAGTATATGTCTTATGTAAAGTAGAAAGTTCCCTATCCATAGTTTGTTGTCAAAGAGGATAAAAAATTATCTTTTTATAGGAAGAGAGCCTAGAAAGACAATGAATATAAGCTAAAAAGGAATTAAATGATGAAGAATAATATGAATAAGCAAAGTCTGGTAGTTTTGCAGACTTATGAATGCGTATGGATTGACGTATAGGTGGATCCATAATCTTAAACGAAGCTTAAGGGGTTGTAGATAAGAATGGAGCTTCAGGTGTACCAAAGAGTAAAGTGTCACTACCTGTAGGATGATGAGTATAAATTGATCGAATATGGAAAGAAGTATCTGAGGTACTAAGAACTTGAGATGATAAACTACCAGAATTCTCATAAAAGAGAGTTATACAAATAATATCAGATCTAGTCAAGGTATGAGTAGTTGATAGAATAGAAATGAAAGACATATGCTCAAGAAAGACATCAAGACGAGACACATAATATTTCTAAGTTATTAAATCAAAACAATGATATCCCTTTTTATTTTCACCATAACCCAGAAAGACACAAATAACAGATCGAGAGGATAATTTACTACATTCTATATGAGGACAAAGAACAAAACAAGTACAACAAAAAACTCTAAAGGAGAAATAATAGGAGCATGCCCATATAACTTTTCAAAATGAGACAAACCTGAATTATAAGACGATGAAATTGTATTAATCAAACTTACAACAATAAAGACAACTTCTCCCCCCAAAACTGACTACAAACAGAAGTAGACAACAAAAGAGAACAAGCAATTTTGATAATGTGCTTATGTTTTATTTTTCAGCAACACCATTTTGTTAAGAAGTATCTATGCATGAAATTTGGTGGATGGTTCCATCTAAGGCAAGCAATTGAAAAAAGTTATTAGAGGTATATTCTCCACTCAAATCACACCTAAAACATTTGATTATAGTAGAATATTGAGTTTTAACAAAAGCTTGAAAGGATGCATATATCTAAAAAAATTCAAAACGATGTTTCATTAAATAAACCAAATAATAATGAGTATGATCATTAATAAAAGAAACATAATATCAAAACCCTCTTTTTATGGCAACATGAGAATGTCTCTAAACAACATAATGAATCAAGTTAAATGGTAAAGAACAAATAGAAATACTTCAATTAAAAGGTAAAGCAGAAAATTTTGTTAGTTTACATTCACTATAATTAGAACCATCACAGGTTTTCAAATTTTCTAAAGCTCTTATAAATGTCAAAAATCTCAAACAAGAAGACAAAACATGACCTAGATGATAATGTTATAAATAAAAACTAGAAGATGAGGGACTCAAACGAAAAGAAAAAAAATTCAACAGTAGTAGTAACAGTAGTGACAACTAGCACTTTTAACTCATCCAAAATATATAATTTATTCTTTCTATGGCCTATCCCAATCAGCTTATAAGACTATATATCCTGTACACAACAAAAAAAATAAAAAAATAACTAAATAATCACCAAAATCACACAATTAGCCAACAAAAACAAGATTCAATTTGAGGTTTGGAAGAAGATAAACATTAGCAGGAGACAAGTGAGGTGTGACAATAGAACCAATACCTTCTAAAGGCATGTGAGTGTCATCAGCAGTCATAAC